GGCCTCACAGAAAGGCTATGCCCGTCTTCTAATGAGCCCCATACTAATGCGGTGATAGTCCGGCCCAGACCAACGTTGTGAAATCACCTAATAGGAGCCCCCAAGTTTTCTGGCAAAACGCAAAGACTGGTGCTGGAACCGGCAGATCGTTTGACCATCGGATGCAAAAGATGCATAAGTCCGAGCGAAGAAACTGGATCGATCTGTATTTGTACAGTAAAATCATCTGGAGAAAGACGGCAGCATCAGCATATGTATACGGAAAATGCGTACCATTGAGCTACATCGAGGTCAAGGAAGAGAAAACCAAAACCAAGTAACTATGTCGTGGTGTTTTCGTTGCTCCTTGAGCTCTTCTTCTCTTCCTCGACCTGTGCGAGAAGAGCTTCCAGCTCGGCCTCGGGCAGCTCTTGGTAGCGCTTCTGCCACATTTAAACAATGGAAACGAGAGAAAGAACGCTTGTTCCGTTAGAGAAATCGTAAATGGAAGCAAATAAAAAAAAAGGAAAGGTACCTCCATCACTTTGAGCTCGTAGTCTTTGAGCTGCTTGGCGTAAGTCATGTCTTTGTTGGAGACCCGGAGAACATAGGATAGGATCCATCCCACTGTGAGCCCAAGAACCATGACTAGCTGCACAACGTTGCCAGCCTTGAGGGAATCCAGTCCAATTAACTGCGACCGAAAGAGGTTTCAAGACAAACCTGTGAACGATCGCTAGACACATACCTCTAGTCCAGACTTTAAACCAAATCCAAAGATTGTGATTCCAATTCCAATAAGGAGAACGTCTTTCCTCGTGTAGCCAAACGCGGGCTGGAAGCGGAAGAACAAAATATTTGTTAGAAACCATGATCGAGCTCCGAAATCTCACAAAATCCTTCTACGATTCGATAAAGAATCACACAGACCTTGTCTTCCGTCGCTCCAGACTCGCATTTTGCGATCAGTGAACCCCTCCTTCGTGTTCTTTGGAGTGTTCTTTGCAATGGAAATCGATTTCTTCCCAAAGCGATGGCGCCGGATCCCGCCATTGGAGCAAGAGCCTGGGCGCCACACCTAGCCCCATGAATCGAATGCCGGAGAAGGATCCCCAGCGTCACAGCTGACGAAATTGCCGCCATAGCTAAAACACTGAGATACCCCTAAACGTGAATATCCCCATTTTACGCTGACTCAGCCCTAGATTTTTTGCTAGCTGACTAGGATCCCTTTATGCTGACGCAGCCCTACATTCTTTCAAATGCTGACTAGGACTTTCATCTGCCCTAATTGTTCTTCCCGGCTATGGTCGCCGCGGCGGAGGACGATCTTGACAAGCAACACGCCGACGAGGGCTACGACGAGCTCGACAGCTACATCCGGCGCAAGAAGAAGGTACCGTGCGGCGATGTCTATGAGGCCGCGAGGGCGGGCGACATCGATCGCCTCAAAATCCTGCTCGAATCGGGCATCAACGTGAATGCTCGGGACGAATGGGACTCGGTGGCGCTGTATTACGCGTGCCTGGCCGGGCACGAGGACGCGGCCAGGATCTTGCTAGAGGGAGGCGCGATTTGCAGCGAGCACACGTTTGATGGCGATCGGTGCCACTACGCGGCGCTGAATCTCAGGGTGAGGCGATTGCTCAAGCTGTTCGAGGCCCGGCCGCCACCGCTGGCGCCACTGCCGGATTCTCTCAGGGCCCTCTTCTTCCGGTCCGGCCAGAATCACAGGTTTCTCGATCCGACGCTGGGCGACACTGGGAATTTCGATGCTGACGAGCTGGGCGATCCAGTCGGGCCGGACATTGTGTTCTACGCCCAAGGGCAGCCGATCGCTGCTCATCGCGCCATCCTCTCGGCGCGCTGCCGGTTCTTCCAGCGAAAGTTTGAGAAAGAGTGGAAGTCACGCAGCGAGATCCGGTTCTCCAGGAACAGGCTCTCGTTCCACGCGCTCTTTCGGCTCATCAGCTTCTTCTACTGCGATGTCTTGGACGTGGCCGTGGACGACATGGAGGACTTGCTCAGGATTTGCAAGGTGTGTGGATGCTCGGGGCTCCAGAGGGTCCTCGAGAAGGAGCTCGTTCATCAAAAGTTTGCCGACTACAAGTCACTCAACACCGACGATGACTCGCTCAAGA